GTAAAGTACAGATACCCAAAATTTCTACTTAAATACAGTAACAAAGTATTTGTACTTAGTTACTTTACAACTCAGGTTTTAAGTGAAAGGAGATAACAGTGAATGCCTCCTTCAGCCGAGCAGCTCGTTAGTTGAACGTTCATTTCATAAACACACATTTATAGTTGTGATTTCTTGTTTCTGTGTGCATTTAATTATATAATCTTTATGCCAAAAAACTCCTTTGTCATTTAAAACACAATAAAAACTTGATACGTTACTTCAATATAAACAACTTGTCATGCAGTACACACTGATTGGTCTTAAATAATAAAGCAGTAGAAAAGTAGTTATCTTACTAGATGTAAACTTTATCAGGATTAACTAATTACATTAGGTGTTAAAAATCATAAGTACAGATGCACACAGGTAAATAAAATTTCAGCATAACACCTCTGAGATCTAAAAATAGCTTCCAAAGATAATTAGTTGAATTTGATAATAGAAAAGTTTTCTGTTTTGTTTTTAAATACAAAGTTCAAAATAAAATTTTAGAGCTGTAATCATAATACTGTCATATCGTGAAACTGTGGTATTTTTGCCCAAGGTTATCATACCGTCCCATGCCTAACTACATCTTTATTTTTTTAGGTTCTCCTCTTGTTTCTCAGTATTACAGCAAGTTGCACAAACCAGAATCGTTCACCATCTTTCAAAAGAGGAACGAGCCAACATCCACTTTGTCTAGAAACAGTTCTCACCACTCCGACCACTGAGCCAAAAGTTTCCTCAACTTGGTCTTGAAAGCAGCCTCGACCGAAGGCGGCGTGGCTCTGACCTACATGAGTCTGACAGGCGGGAAGTTTGTAACATGAAACACTGACAGAACCTTTGACACAAGCTTTGTTTTCCTGCTCGACCCGAAGCTTTAACAAYAAAAACAAAAACATTCAAACTCGACCTGCTGTGGTGAGAAACGTGAAAAAACTGATGGGTTTCTGTTAAATGTAGACATGTTAATTAATGTTTTAATTAATGAAAATTACATGAATTAAAGAATTACATTTCTCTACAGTAACACATTGTAAGTTAAAACCTCAGCAGCTTAACTTCTTCCACCGGCTCGGTGCTATTTTAGCTGTTTATATATCAAAACTTCAGCTCAGTAMCTCTAAAGCACTAATAGGGGAACTAATTTCCTGATTAGTGCTTTGGGGCTTTTGCTAATTTTTAAAATTTAATAGTGGATTAGCACTTGCTAAATTTATAAGCACTAACTGAGGTCTATAAATGTTGTATTAAATATGTCTTTCTTGAATGAATGAAGCTTTGTTCTCGGCTGAGAACAGAGCTGCATTAACTGCTTCGAAGCAACCCTGTGATTGGTCAAGATTATTTTCTCTCTGTGCCAAGGTCAGAACTTTCTGCTGAGACCTGTGTTTAGTGCTGTCAGAAACTTCCCACTCTTTGCAAAGAGAAAACTGTTTTAAACTGAATAATTAGGTCAGTGTCAGGATCATTTCTTTTTAAGGTGTAATTTAATGACCCTCTGACAATTAGATTGAAAATCCCAAAACCAAGTCTTCCTTTGGCCTCATGTCTTTCTGCTTTGCTGCAGCAAATGATTGAAACTTTTATCAAAATACACTGCATCTTGATTTCTATTCCTGCTTTTAAACACAGACTAAAGGATCTTTTTAAGGAGTCAGTAAGTGTTTTAAATGAATGAATGCACTGCTTATTTTATATGTTGTATGTACTGTTGTTTCCCTTTCTCCATCGTGTTTTATCTACAGAAATACTCAGATGACTCTGCAGTTGTTGGCTGTATCAGAGATGGACAGGAAGCTGAGTACAGAGAGCTGGTGGACCGCTTTGTGACATGGTGTGGG